AGGAGGCTGAGACAGGAAAATCGCTTGAACTCGGGAGGTGGAGTTTGCAGTGAGCTGAGATCACACCATTGCACTCCAGCCTGGTAGACAGAGTGAGACTCTGTCTCAAAAAAACAAAACAAAACAAAATTTAACATCTAATCAATATTGCTATCTAATACATACTCTCTAATTCAAATTTCTCTCATTGTCATACTAGCTCTAATAGTGTTCACTAAAGGTTACTTGTTTTTTATCCGAGAATTAAACAAGGATCACTCAGTTCCTTTAGCGGTTACATCTCCTTCATTCTAGCACAGTTCTTGGCCTTTGGTTTTGTCTTGCTTTGCTTCTGTCACTCATGATATGAACATTTTTGAAGCATCCAGGCCAGCTGGTTTGCAGAAAGTCCCCCCATGTGGATCTGTCTGATGGTTTCCTATTGATTCAAATTTCACCTTTTGGGCAGGACACTACATGGAGGATGCTGAGTCCTAATCAGTGCCAGGACACCAGGAAGCACATGAGGCCAGTGCGTCCCATTACTGGGGATGTTCCGTTTCATCATCCGGTAAAGTTGGTATCTCTGGATTTCTGCATATCTTGTTCCCTAAAAATCTTTCCCCTATGGTCTTAGTATCCATTGAGATGATTCTTTCATGAACACTTATTGCCATGGCAGTTGTAAAATGTGAATCTTGTTTTGTCATTCCTTCTCTCTTGACTGGTTGGTGGTCCCTCCCTCCTTCCCTCCCTCTCTGTCTCTCTTTCTCTCTTTCTTTCTTTGTCTTTTTTTTTTTTTTTTTTTTTTTTTTTTTTTTTTTTTTTTTTTTTTTTTTTTTTTTTTTTTTTTTTTTTTTTTTTTTTTTTTTTTTTTTGAGACAGAGTTTCACTTTTACTGCCCAGGCTGGTGTGTAATGGTGTGATCTCAGCTCACTGCAACCTCCACCTCCTGGTTCAAGCGATTCTCCTGCCTCAGCCTCCCAAGTAGCTGGAATTACGGGCGCTGCCACAATACTCGGCTAATTTTTTGTATTTTTAGTAGAGACAGGGTTTCACCATGTTGGCCAGGCTGGTCTTGAACTCCTGACTTCAGGTGATCCACCCACCTTGGCCTCCCAAAGTTCTGGGATTACAGGCATGAGCCACCGTGACCAGCAATAAGATCTTTATTTTATTTTTGTTTTTTGGGATGACGTCTCACTCTGACACCCAAGCTGGAGTACAGTGGCGCCACCATGGTTCACTGCAGCCTCAAACACGGGGGCTCCAGACACACTCCCACCTCAGCCTTCCAAGTAACTGGGACCACAGGCACACACCACCACATCTGGCTACTTTTTTTTTTATTATTTGAAGAGACCAGGACTTGCCGTGTTGCCCAGGCTGGTCTACAACTCCTGGACTCTAGCAGTTCTCTCGTCTCGCCTTCCCTAAATTCTGGGATTACAGGTGTGAGCCACTGCGCCTGGCCAGTGGTCTTCTTTAAAGAAGAATTTTCCTTTTTTCTTCCCTCTTTTAAAATATTTTTTGGTTGGGTGTCGTGCCTCACCCCTGTAATCCCAGCACTTTGGGAGGCCAAGGGAGGCGGGTCACTTGAGGTCAGGAGTTTGAGACCAGCCTGACCAACACGGTGAAACTCTGTTTCATCATATTTTATGATATTTGTAAAAACACGAAAATTAGCTAGAGATGGTGGTGGGACCTGTAATTCCAGCTACTCAGGAGGCTGAGGCAGGGGAATCGTTTGAACCCATGAGGTAAAGTTTGCAGTGAGCCGAGATCACGCCACTGCATTCCAGCCTGAGTAATAGAATGAGACCCTGTCTCAAAAAATATATGTACATATATTTTAAAGTATCAATATTGACTCATAGATTTGTATTTTATCCAAGAAGCTGAATGTTCCTGGGTGCAGTGGCTCGCACCTGAAATCCCAGTACTTTGGGAGACCAAGGTGGGTGGATCACGAGACCAGGAGTGTGAGACCAGCCTGACCAACATAGTGAAACCCCGTCTCTATTAAAAGTACAAAAAAAGCCGGGCGCGGTGGCTCAAGCCTGTAATCCCAGCACTTTGGGAGGCTGAGGCAGGTGGATCACGAGGTCAAGAGATCGAGACCATCCTGGTCAACATGGTGAAACCCCGTCTCTACTAAAAATACAAAAAAAACATTAGCTGCGCATGGTGGCGCGTGCCTGTAATCCCAGCTACTGAGGAGGTTGAGGTAGGAGAATTGCCTGAACCCAGGAGGCGGAGGTTGCGGTGAGCCGAGATCGCGCCATTGCACTCCAGCCTGGGTAACAAGAGTGAAACTCCGTCTCAAAAAAAAAAAAAAAATTAGCTGGGCAGGGTGGCGGGTGCCTGTAATCCCAGCAACTTGGGAGGCTGAGGCAGGAGAATCGTGTGAACCCAGGATTCAAGTTGCAGTGAGCCAAGATCGTGCTACTGCACTCCAGCCTGGGAGACAGAGTGAGACTCCATCTCAAAAAAAAAAAAGCTAAATGTATGACTTCCATTACTTATTTTGTGCTCAAATATTCCCAGGCCTGGCCATTGGCAGCCCCTTCCAGCAGCTCTGTGCTAGCAGCTCCTTTCACACTCCCACCATCCTTCGAGCACCTCTTTACTTTCCGGCACTGTAAAGTGTCCCAGGATCCTCTCGACGTTCCCCATCTCAGCTCTGGAGTCAGCCATCCCTGACTGGGAACTGGAGCTTCGAATCTAACAGTGGTAAGGTGTTCTCGTGTATGACAGATTCTAGGTCCTCTCAGTGGGCCTAGTTATTTCTTTTTCTCTCTCCCTTTCTTTCTCTCTTTTTCTTTCTTCCTTTCCTCTTTCTCTCTTTTTTTCCCTCCCTCCCTCCCTCCCTTCCTCCCTTCCTTCCTTCCTTTTTTTTTTTTTTTTTGAGACAATTTAGTTCTATTGCCCAGGCTGGAGTGGAGTGGCACAATCTCGGCTCACTGCAAACTCCACCTCTCCGGTTCAAGTGATTCTCCTGCCTCAGCTACCCACCCAAGTAGCTGGAACTACAGGCGCATGGCACCAAGCCCGACTAACTTTTTTGTATTTTTAGTAGAGAAGGGATTTTGCCATGTTGGCCAGGCTGGTCTCGAACTCCTGATCTCAAGTGCTCAAGTGATCTGCCCACCTTGGCCTCCCAAAGTGCTGAGATTACAGGCATGAGCCACCGTTCCTGGCCAGCCTCTTTCTCCCTTCTCCTCCTCCTCCTCCTTCTTCTTCTTGCTTCTTCTTCTTACTTAAAACTCTTGTTTTGGTAATTTATTTTTCCATAACTAATTACAAATAACAAAACACCAGCATTTTCCTTCCTCCATTCCAAATCTCCCTCATCCTACAGTGAGAATCTGGGTTTTGGTACCACCAATCCTGGGATAACCCAAAGTTGCTTCAGAACGGCTCCGCCCTCCCCGCTGCCAATAACAAACTCGCTAATGAGGTTTGGGGTTCTGTCACAGGTCTCCCAGTCCTTAGAGTGTAGCCCACTAAGGAGGTACAGCTGGACAACCCAGTTCCGTAGTTACTCAGATAGCTTTTTTTTTTTTTCTGCAAGTGGTTTATGTCACCAACATCATATAGAGATTAATTAGTTTCTGTTGATTTTCGCTTTCCTTTTTCTAAGAGACAGGGTATGGCTCTGTTATTGCAGCTTTAGTCATAGCTCATAGAGCCGTGACCTCCTGGGCTCAAGCGATGCTGGGATTACAAGGCATCCCCCACCAGGCTTGGTTTTTTTTTTTTTTGGTGGAGATGAGGTCTTACTATGTTACCCAGAATGGTCTCTAGCGCCCGGCCTCAAGGAATCCTCCCACCTTGACCTCCCAAAGCCTTGGGATTACAGGCATGAGCCTCCTTGCCCAGGCTCTGTTGGTTTTTCTCCTATCCTTGATGACTTTTATTTATCTATTTATTATTATTATTTTGAGGTGCAGTTTCGCTCTTGTTGCCCAGGCTGGAGTGCAATGGCACAATCTCCACTGTCTGCAACCTCGGCCTCCCGAGTTCAAGCGATTCTCCTGCCTCAGCCTCCCAAGTAGCTGGGATTACAGGCATGCACCACCACACCCGGCAAATTTTGTATTTTTAGTAGAGACAGGGTTTCTCCATGTTGGTCAGGCTGGTCTCGAACTCCCAACCTCAGGTGATCCACCCACCTCAGCCTCCCAAAGTGCTGAGATTACAGGCGTGAGCCACCATGGCCGGCATTTTTATTTCTTAAAGGTAAAATTGATTTAAGTTGCATTCAGAAATGTGCACAGATTCTTGTGAAAGAAGGAACCACGCAGTCCAGGCGAGGAGTCCATCACTATTTTCAAACACCCCTTTAGGAGGCAGGCATTAATGCCCTGCTCCATCCTTTGGAGGCAGCCCCGGGCTAACTAAGCACAGCACTCCTGAGTTCCATCAGCCTCGGTGTTTCTAAGGAGTCCAAGTGCGGCCGGGGTGTGAGTCCCTGTCCCTGCACCCCCAACCCCGCCATGCTCCAATCACCCTCCCCGCTCCGGGGGCCTCCTGGGCCTTGGCTTGTACCTGTGAACCGAAGGGGTCACATACTAAGGTCTTCGGATAGCTCCCAGGCCTGGACTTAGTTGTCGCAGGATATCATCTTTACTGATCAACCCATTTTGTTTCACAAGAACCCAGTGAGTGTTTGGCACGTAATAGAGCCTCCATAAATAGTTGTAGGAATTAGCGTCATTTTACAGCATGGAAACTGAGGCTCCAAGTGGGAGTGGCTTGCCCCAAGGTCTCATTAGTGAGACACGCTGTGGAAGGGCTGCCCTGACCTGAGCACACAGTAGGCGCTTTGATGCGGGCTCAGGAGGTCTGGCTGGTGGGATTGCGCACGCGGGCGTCGCGCACGGGCCGGGGCGGGGCCGTATGCAAATAGGGGGCGGGCCGTATGTAAATAGCGTGTGAGGAGGTCGCGGATTGGCCGGGTCGGGGGGGGCGGGGCGCGCCGAGCCCAGGGCTGGCAGGTGCGCGGGGCGGGAGAGACCAGGTATCCGCACCCGCCCGCTGGACCGCCCGCCCCGCGCTCTGGCGGCTTCTCCCCGGCGATGCCTCCGCTCTGGGCCCTGCTGGCCTTCGGCTGCCTGCGGTTCGGTTCGGGTAGGCGGGGAAGGGCAGGAAGGGGCTGAGCCCGGAGAGGGGCGGTAGCTGCGTCCTGAGGCGCCCATCGCCTGGATCCTGATTCCTGGCAATGGGAACCCAGATATTACTATTATGAATAATAATGGTAGCTGGCGCATCCTCTGGTGGGAATCCGGGGGGCTCACGGGTGGCTGCAACCCTGCCATGTATGTTGCAAGAAACCAACACTCAGAGGGACTGCGGGAGGGCAGAGAAGGGACCAGCCCCAGACCTATGGTGAGGCCTGAACGGCGACAGATACAGAGATATTTCGGCCAAACAGGCAGCATGGGCAAGTTCATGGACGTGGGAGACAGCACTGGGCTATCCTGGGAATTGCCAGTCTATGGGATCGGCTGGATCAAGGGGTGAGGGAAACCCGTGGAGGAAGGGGTGAGGCAGGAGATCCAACAAAGCAAAGCTCAGAACTTTAGGACCTCGCTGCCTTTCCAGAGAGGCCAGACTGCGTCAGGGGGCGCTGAGGGACCATGGAAGGGCCATCGCAGGAGAAGGAGATGGTCAGATTTGCATGTATGGAGAGGCTTGGTTACTAGGGTCCAAGTGAGGACAGTGGGATGGAGCAGGGCTGGGGAATGGAGTGGAGAGATGGCTAGGAGGCGCAATGGAGTTCTTGGCATCTGAGTGTCTGCAGCCGGGAGAGAAGGCAGCAATTTGACCCGACTGCCCCATTTCTGAGCAGGATGATTGAGTGAGGGGCAGTGTCTGAGACAGGTTATGTGGTGGCCCATGGGGAACACAAAGCCCAGTGCCTGGCACACAGCAGGCGCTCAGTAACTGCATGCAGAGTGGGTGTGGACAGTTCTGCCGGGGGTCAGTTCCCATCCTCACTGCCTCCTCCAGCTGTGAACCTGCAGCCCCAACTGGCCAGTGTGACCTTTGCCACCAACAATCCCACCCTCACCACTGTGGCCTTGGAAAAGCCTCTCTGCATGTTTGACAGCTCAGAGGCCCTCACTGGCACCTACGAGGTCTACCTGTATGTCCTGGTTGACTCAGGTAAGGGTCTTGCTTCCTTCTGGCTACTCCAAAAAGGGCTTAGTTGTCTGTAGGGAGGAGGGAAGGAGGCAGGTAGAGGAACGCTCCATGCCTGTAGTTGTCTAATTAAACTCCCATGCTAGGCTGGGCATGGTGGCTCACGCCTATAATCCAAGCACTTTGGAGGCCAAGGTGAGCAGATTACCTAAGGTTGGGAGCTCAAGACCAGCCTGACCAACATGGTGAAACCCTGTCTTTAAAAAAAATAAAAATAAAAAAATGTGGAGGCATGCCCTGGCCTCCACTCCGGGCCCAGGGTGCTACAGCCACAGACCTGTCCTTGCCTTGCAGGGACATCCAGTTAGAGAGGGAAGTAATAACATCACCGATCACTGAGTAGCTACACCATACCAGGCGCTTTGCATACCATAGAGCTAATATCTACGACCAGCTTACAAGGTAGCTATTACCAATCCCCGTTACAGAACAGAGAATCCGGGCTCAGGGCGGTGGAGTCACTCTCTGGGAGCTCCCAGCACTGGAAAGTGAACCTGACCTCACTAGTCCTCAAGCGCAATGTCCTTCTGAGGCTTAGAAAAGTGGCTCAGGATTGGTGTTTCTAAGGTAAAACCACACTTTCAGACATGCTGCTCTGGCCCAGCCCTGACCCCCTCCCTGGAGGAGATACTGAGTTTCTGAGAGAAGCCATCATCAACTCTCCAATTTCTTTTTTTTGAGATGGAGTCTCACTCTGTTGCCCAGGCTGGAGTGCAGCAGCACGATCTTGGCCCACTGCAACCTTCACCTCCCGGATTCAAGTGATTCTCCTGCCTCAGCCTCCTGTAGCTGGGATTGTAGGCACCTGTCACCACACCCGGCTAACTTTTAAATTTTTGGTAGAGACGGAGTTTCACCATGTTGGCCAGGCTTGTCTTAAACTCTGGACCTCGTGATCCACCCACCTCGGCCTCCCAAAGTGCTGGGATTACAGGCGTGAGCCACCTCGCCCGGCCCAACTCTTGCATTTCTATCAGCCGGTCATTTACAACAGCTCATTCAGGGCCATCATTTTATTCTTTCAGCACGTGTTTATTGACTAGCAGGTAGTCAGTAAACTACTTACTACCAAATAAACTAAAATGCCTGATCTCTGGGCACCGCAGGGAATTTATCTCCCATTTCCTAGAAGACTAGGGTCTGCAGAGGTAGAATGAATTGTCCAAAGTCTCCCATCTAGAGAGGAGGAGACCTGGGACCTGCCTCCACGTTTTTTCTCCTGGATATATGACCCTCCTTTCCCATTTTATATAAAAGAGAATCCAGGGCTCTCAGCAATGAAGTGACAAAGGTCTTTGGGATGGGGGGGTTGCAGGAATGTCACAAGATAAAGTGAGAGTCAGACAGCACCCAAAGCAGGGGTTGATCCTTGTCCATCTCCCCCATTGCACTGGGAGGGCAGAGACTGAGCTTGCCCCATGCCTGTGACCCCAGTGCCCAGCACAGGGCTGAGGCAGAAAGGATAATCAGGGGCGTCTGATGAATGAGTGAGTGAGTGTGGCTGAGCTGGAGTGGCCAGGAGCCTCACTCCCTGCACTGCCTCTGCAGCCGGCTCCAGGAACGCCTCAGTGCAAGACAGTACCAAGACCCCACTGAGCTCAACGTTCCAACAAACAGAGGGTGGGAGGACAGGTCCCTACAAAGCCGTGGCCTTTGACCTGGTCCCCTGCAGTGACCTGCCCAGCCTGGATGCCGTTGGGGATGTGTCCCAGGCCTCACGGATCCTGAATGCATACCTGGTCAGGGTGGGCGTCAACAGGACCTGCCTGTGGGACCCCAACTTCCAGGGGCTCTGTAACCCGCCCCTGTCAGCAGCCACAGAGTACAGGTGGGTGTCAACAAGCTGCTACCGGAGAGCAGCGGCCACGCCCCAGTCCTGACAGGGAGAGAGGGGCACAGTGGGAGCAGCCGCATTTCTTGAGAGCTATGTGCTGAGAGCATCCCAGGTCCTGGGCAGGTCATGCTGTCTCAGGTTCAGGTTCAGAAGGGGCCCCTCTTGGATTGGTGCTCTGTGGCTACCATCTTGAATTTCTTTTTTTTTTGAGACACAGTCTCACTGTCTCCCAGGCTGGAGTGCAGTGGCACGATCTCAGCTCACTGCAACCTCCGCCTCCGGAGTCAAGCGATTGTCCTGCCTCAGCCTCTTGAGTAGCTGAGATTACAGATACCTGCCACCACGACTGGCTAATATTTTTTGTGTGTTTTTGTTGTTGTTGTTTTGTTTTTGAGGTGGAATTTCACTCTTTTTGCCCAGGCTGGAGTGCAGTGGTGCAATCTCGACTCACCGCAACCTCTGCCTCCCAGGTTTAAGTGATTCTCCTGATTTAGCCTCCCGAGTAGCTGGGATTCTAGGCATGCACCACCACGCCTGGCTAATTTTATATTTTTAGTAGAGATGGGGTTTCTCCATGTTGGTCAGGCTGGTCTCAAACTCCCGACCTCAGGTGATCCACCTGCCTTGGCCTCCCAAAGTGCTGAGATTACAGGTGTGAGCCACTACGCCTGGCCAACTTTTTGTGTTTTTAATAGAGACGGAGTTTCACCATGTTGGTCAAGTTGGTCTTGAACTCCTGACCTCAAGTGATCTGCCTGCCTCGGCCTCCTGCATAGTTCTGGGATTACAGGCATGAGCCACTATGCCCGGCCCATCCCGAAATTCTTAATTGTTGAACAAGGGCCCACATTTTCATTTTGCTCTGGGCCCCACAAATTATGCAGCTTGTTCTGGCCAATCTACATGTAGGGAATCATCCACCCAAACCCCTTCGTCTTATAGGAAAGGAAACTGCCCCAGAGAGGGAAAGTTGCCCAGTGGAAAGCTGGGGCCTGGTATGAAAAGGAACACTGCCAAAGCCTGGCCATCCTCAGCCTCACCTTCTGCTTTTTCCTTAGACCTGCTGCTGCCCACCCCAACCCCAGCAGGCCCTCGATCCATTCCCTCTCATTTTCTGAAGCGTCTTCTCTATGTAAAGCCCAGTGCTCAGTCCTGACCCACGGCCAGGTCTTACCTGGTGCCAGAGCCTCAGGTTACATCCGCTCCGGTACCATGGACATGCCTAGGATGGGGTCTCTGCAGCTTCCAGGCCCAGATTGTCACCCACCTGTCATCCTCATAGAGGGCTTGCCCTCCCTTGGCCTCAGCCACTGGGCAGAGCAAGGGTCTCTGCTCTGTTTCCCCGTCTAGCCTCTTGCCTGTGATCTTGGTTTTTGAGGGGAAAATCCTCTCCCTCCTCCTTGGTCTCAAAGGCAGCCCTCTCTGCCTTCATTTACAAGCCCTTCTTACCCCGGGGTCAGCCCTGCCTCTGGAAATCTCATTTTGGAACAGAAAAAAGTAGGGGGTTAAGCAAAACCTGCATGAGACTTTTTGTTTTATTTTGTTTTTTAGACGAAGTCCCTCTTTGTCACCCAGGCTGGAGTGCAGTGGCACAGTCTTGGCTCACTGCAGCCTCCACCTCCTGGGTTTGAGCGATTCTCCTGCCTCAGCCTCCCGAGTAGCTGGGACTACAGACATGCACCACCATGCCTGGCTAATTTTTGTATTTTTAGTAGAGATGGGGGTTTCACCATGTTGGCCAAGCTGGTCTTGAACCCCTGACCTCAAATGATCCGCCTGCCTCGGCCTACCAAAGTGCTGGGCTTACAGGTGTGAGCCACTGCTCCTGGCCTGGATGAGATTTCAAGGATCTTAATTTTTATTTGCGTGTTAAGCTACAGGCTGTAGATGTCTTTGTAGTCAGAACATCCATCATTTTAAACTGACTGAGTAGGAGACCTTCAGAAGGCTGTGGATATTCTGTAATGCATTGCCCAGTCTTCTTTATTGTTATTTATTTATTTATTTTTGAGATGGAATTTCGCTCTGTTGCCAGGCTGAAGTGCAGTGGCTCAATCTCAGCTCACTGCAACATGAGCCTCCCAGGTTCCAGCAATTCTCCTGGCTCAGCCTCCCGAGTAGTTGGGACTACAGGCACACACCCCCATGCCTGGCTATTTTTTGTATTTTTAGTAGGGACAGGGTTTCACCATGTTGGGCAGGATGGTCTCGATCTCTTGAGCTAGTAATCCGCCTGCCTTGGTCTCCCAAAGTTCTGGGATTACAGGAGTGAGCCACAGTGCCTGGCCAGTGCATTGCCCAATCTTCTTTTGTGATTAGAAACACTTGTTCCAGGGTTTCTGCACTTAAAATATATCTCCTGTACAAGGGCAGCAGGGTTGATGATGGATATTATTCCAATTCTTCTTTTCTTTCTCTCCCTCCCTCCTTTCTTTCTTTTCTTCCTTTCTTTCCACCTCCTGGAAGGACTGGCCCCTCCCTCACCCCTAGGCCCTCCTATATCTGCAGCCTGCGCCCCTGCCCCTACCCTGCCTCCCTGTGGCTGGGGCTTGCAAGAAACATAGAAGTCACCCCAGCTCTGTCTCCTTCCAGGTTCAAGTACGTCCTAGTCAACATGTCCACAGGCTTGGTAGAGGACCAGACCCTGTGGTCGGACCCCATCCGCACCAACCAGCGTAAGTGGTGGGCAGTGGTGGGGGTGATGCTCCAAGGGCCCCGAGGAGGCAGGGCCAGGCACGGCCATGAGAACCAAGGCTCATCTGTCCCTGTGGAAGCCTCCCAGGCCAGGTAGTGATGAGGAAAATGCTCATTAAAGCGTTGACCCTGGAACGTTCTCCTTCCTCCCTTCCATCCTTGAGGGCCAGGTGTGGGAACAGATCATGGTGGAGGTTTTGGTGGCATTTGGACTGGGGATGGGTGCAAGTGGAGATCTAAGCCGGCCTGTCTCTCTGTCTCTCCGGCCCTTACGGTGCGTTGGCTTCAAAGGCATGCGGAGCTGACCTGGCGTTTAGGTCCTAACCAGCCCCTTTGCTAAATCCTCACGGCAGCAAGCAACTGTGGCCAGGTCAGGTGGCTCTAAGGCCTAAAACTAAGACAGAGAAGTTAGCAAGGAACTGCTCTCCCTCCCCACACTCCTACCCCCAGCACCTGGGTGGGTTTCCTGAGAGTGGAAAGCCAGGGTCCTGCCCTGTTCCTTGCTCAGCAGAGACCCAAAGTTCATACACAGAGTCCAGTCTGCTGAACGGCAGGGGCCACGCCAGGGACTCTGATGGTAATTTTGAGTGAATGACACCCTAACAGAAGACCCCCTCCCACCACACCTTGGCCCCCACGACGAGGCTGTCTGGCAGGATGGCTGTCAGGAGGCTGTGCATTTCACCTGCAGAGCCTCCATGTGCACCCCAGGGGTGTGGGGGCTGCAAAAGGTTGCCTGAGGTCACCCATGAGTGGATGGTAGAGAACATTGTGTGTGTGTGTATGTGAGTGCCTGCTGTGGTGTGTGTGTGTGTGTGTGTGTGGTGTGGTATTGTCGCGGATATCAGGAGACCGCAGAGACCAATGAGTGAAACAGGAGGATTTTTTATTTAGGTGCACCGGCTCAGAGGATTTGCCTTTGAAAACTGAGCACAGCACAAAGAAAACGGGTGCCTTTTATGCACCTTTGTGATACAGGATGACGAAGCCGAAAGTGATTTTACAGAATCCTCGTTAACTAATGAAGTTAGTTAGTTAGTTAACTAACTAATCTTCGTTAACTAACCCGTGGCATGTTTTGTGATGTACTTTACATTTGAAAAATAACATTTTGAGAAACACATTTGGCAGTTTTCAGGTTTATTTGCCCTGTGGCCTTGCAGTTGGCCAGCAAGAAAAACAGGAACCCTTAGATGACTGGGAACTTTGCTAAGAATGTGGGGAGGAGGATAAGGTTAAATGGTTTACTGAGAGACAGTTAATATTTATTTTGTCTTAAGCAGAACTGGGGAGGAGGTATTATATTAAACAGCACGCAACACAGCAAAATATACCTTGTATAACAACTGCTACAAATTGCTATTACTGTTATTTAATTTTCTTCTTCAGTATGTGTGTATGTAGTTTATGGTGTTGTGTATGTGTGTGTATGAGAGTGTGTGGTATGTGATGTGAGTGTGAGAATGTGTGTGGAATGTGGTGTGTGGAGAGTCTGTGAGGAGCGTGGTGTGTATGAGTGTGACAGTGTGTGGTGTATCTCAGAAGTCCCCAACCCCAGGGCCACGGACCAGTACCAATCCGTGGCCTGTTAGGAACTGGCCACACAGCAGGAGGTGAGGGCGGACAAATGAAGCTTCATCTGTGAGTGTGAGCATGAGTTGGTGTGTGTATTGTGTGGTGTGTGAGTGTGTGATGTGTGTGGTGTGTGATAGATGTGTGGCATGTGGTGTGTGAGAGTGTGTGTGGTATGTGGTGTATGTGAGAGTGTGTATTGTGCGTGGTGTGAGAGTGTGGCAGTGTGTGTGTGAGTTTGGTGTGTGATGTGTGTGGTGTGTGGTGTGTGTGTGGTGTATGTGAGAGTGTGTATTGTGTGGTGTATGGTGTGAGAGTGTGGCAGTGTGTGTGTGAGTTTGAGTTGGTGTGTGATGTGTGTGGTGAGTGTGTGATGTGTGTGATATGTGGTGTGTGAGAGTGTGTGTGGTGTGTGAGTATATGAGTTGGTGTGTGATGTGTGGTGTGTGAGTGTGTGATGTGTGATAGATCTGTGGTGTGTGTGGTGTGTGATAGATGTGTGGTGTGTGAGAGTGTGTGTGGTGTGTGAGTATATGAGTTGCTGTGTGATGTGTGGTGTGTGAGTGTGTGATGTGTGATAGATCTGTGGTGTGTGTGGTGTGTGGTGTATGTGAGTGTGTATTGTGTGTGGTGTGATGTGAGAGTGAGTGTGGCAGTGTGTGTGTGAGTTTGAGTTGGTGTGTGATGTGTGTGGTGAGTGTGTGATGTGTGTGGTGTGTGATAGATATGTGGTGTGTGAGAGTGTGTATTGTGTGTGGCGTGTGGTGTGAGAGTGTGGCAGTGTGTGTGTGAGTTTGAGTTGTGTGTGATGTGTGTGGTGAGTGTGTGATGTGTATAGTGTGTGATAGATGTCTGGTGTGTGTGTGTGTGTGTGTGGTGTGTGATGTATGTGAGTGTGTATTGTGTGTGGTGTGTGGTGTTAGCATGTGTGTGTGAGTTGGTGTGTGTTGTGTGTGGTACATGGTATGTGTCTTAGTGTGCATGTGTGTCATGTGTGGTGTGTGTGGTACATGGTATGTGTGTACGAGTTGGTGTATGATATGTGTTTAGTGTGTGGGGGACGTAGTGTGTGACTGTGAGACTGTGTGTGGTATGTGGTGTGTGTAGTATGTGTGGTGTGTGAGTATGGTGTGTGTGAATGTGTGTGTGAGTTGGTGTGTGTGGTGTCAGTGTGAGTTGGTATGTGTGGTGTGTGTGGAGTGTGATATGTGTGGTGTGTGAGAGCGTATGTGGTGTCTGGTGGATGTGAGTGTGTGTTATGTGATGTGTAGTGTGAGTGTGGCAGTGTGTGTGTGTTTGAGTGTGATGTGTGTGGTGTGTGAGTGTGTGTGTGAGTTGGTATGTGTGGTGTGTGGTGTGTGAGTGTGGCAGTGTGTGTGACTTTGAGTTAGTGTGTGGTATGTGAGTGTGAGAGTGTGTGAGTTGGTATGTGTGGTGCGTGAGTGTGAGAGTGAGTTTGAGTTGGTGTGTGATGTGTGTCGTGTGTGTGAGTGTGAGTGACTTGGTATGTGTGGTGAGTGGTGTGTGTAAGTGTGGCAGTGTGTGTGTTTGAGTTGGTGTGTGTTGTGTGGTGTGAGAGTGTGGCAGTGTGTGTGTATGTGAGTTTGAGTTGGTGTGTGATGTGTGTGGTGTGTGAGTGTGAGCGTGTGAGTGACTTGGTATGTGTTGTGAGTGCTGTGTGTAAGTGTGGCAGTGTGTGTGTTTGAGTTGGTGTGTGTTGTGTGGTGTGTGAGAGTGTGGCAGTGTGTGTGGCTGCGGTGACTCCTCCCATCCTCACTCGCTGCCCCCGTCCTGTGGCATTCCCACGCAGTGTGGTTTTGCTGAAACTGCCGGGGAACCCTTGGGACCTCGGTTTCCTCATCTGAGAAGAAGGAAGAAGAATTCTTGAGGGCCTCCGCATCAGGGTTCCTTTGGGGAACCCAGGCAGAAGCACGAGGCCCACCTCTCTTGCGGGAGGAACGCAGGGCCTTTGGGAGCAGCATGCATCTCAGGACCAGGCCGGCCCAGCTTGAGCCTGGATTCTGTGTGTCCTTGGCCGGGAACTCAGGCTCCCTGAGTGTAGTGAGTGATCTGCAGAATGGGGGCTCCAGGGGACCTGGGACAGTAGCTGCAAGTGGCTGGCTACAGTAGGACCCCATACATCATCCATTCACATAGTTCCAAAGGGTGAGGCCAGCCCCGGAAGAGTGACAGCCACTGCCCACCTGGCCCCGTCAGACCAGGGCCCTTTGCCTCATCTTTGATTATAATCCGTATCCTAGCCATCTCACCAGAAGACTTGAGTCACTTTATGATTTAAAATTATGCAAAGGCCAGGTGCCCTGGTGGCTCACACCTGGAATCTCAACACGTTGGTAGGCTGAGGCAGGACTGCTTGAGCCCAAGTTCAAGACCATTCTGGGCAACACGGTGAAACCCCATCTCTACAAAAAAAGTACAACAAATTAGCTGGGCGTGGTGGCATGCACCTGTAGTCCCAGCTGCTCGGGAGGCGGGGGTGGGAGGATTGCTTGAGCCTGAGGTTGAGGCTGCAGTGAGCCAGGATGGTGCCACTGCACTCCATCCTGGGTGACAGAGCGAGACTCTGTCTCAAAAACTGTAACAGAAAATAATGCGAAAAAAAAAAAAGATTTAAATGACGAGGTGGCCAGAAACACATAAAAGAAAGGCGGGAGGTGGAATGTGGGGAAAACAAGGTAATTGTGCCTAAAACCTGGGAGAAGTCACTGTACTGGGTCCCAGGGTCATTCCTGGATCCCTGGCAGCCAGGGTGGGGGAGACACTGGCCGCCACCTGGGAGATGTCCGAGGGTGGTGAGGTGTCTGGGGAGTAACAAGCAGTGTCTCACCACAGTCACTCCATACTCGGTGATCGACACGTGGCCAGGCCGGCGGAGCGGAGGCATGATTGTCATCACTTCCATCCTGGGCTCCCTGCCCTTCTTTCTACTTGTGGGTTTTGCTGGTGCCATTGTCCTCAGCCTCTTGTAAGTACCCGCCAGTTGGGAGGGCTGGACCCCAGGGACACGCCAGACACATTCGGCCCACAGGGACTCAGAAGCTGTGTCCTCTGAGGCAGGGGAAGCCTGGGAGGCAAGGAGGCTACCCCTCTGCCCTGTGGCAGGGCAGCGGCGGAGGGGGTTGGGGTGGGGGTCTGGTGACGGGGGAGCAGAGTCCTGGGATTTCAAAGCGGGAGGATCATCAAAGTCAAGTTGCTCAGCTGGGGAGGGCAGGGCTCAGCAGCTGGGCTTGTGGGCAGATGGCCGATTCAGATCTTAGCTCTGACACTTAAAGTTATGCACCCTTAACTGGAAGTGGCATGGCTTGCTATCCTTCTATTCTTTAGTTTCCTCATCTGGAAAATGGAAATAATTCATGGAGTTGTGAAGGTTAAGTGGAATGATCTCTGTAAAGTCTCTAGAGGCCGGGTGTGGTGGCTCACGCCTGTAATCCCAGCACTTTGGGAGGCCAAGGCAGGCAGATCACAAGGTCAGGAGTTTGAGACCAGCCTGGCCAATATGGTGAAACCCTGTCTTTACTAAAAATACAAAAATTAGCCGGGCACTGTGGTGGGCGCCTGTGGCCCCAGCTACTCAAGAGGCTGAGGCAGGAGAATCGCTTGAACCCAGGAAGCAGAGTTTGCAGTGAGCCGAGATCACACCACTGCACTCCAGCCTGGGAGACAGAGTGAGACTGTCTCGGAAAAAGAAGAGCAGTGCTCAGAAACTCAACAAGTTATTTGCTTTTGTTGTCATTTTAATACACTCACTTGCAGTACAGATGGGGAAACTGAAGCCCAGAGGGCATCAGAGTGGCCCAAGGTGACATGGCCTGGCACCAGCACCTAGAGCTGGGCCTAGAACCTGGGACTCACTCGGGACTCCACTGACACCTCTGATTCATGTCGGCTTTGGATGAGGACTCCAGGTCTCCCGGGGGTGCATCAGGGTTAGCAGGGCTGTGAGTGGGCAAGACATGTGAGCCCACAGTCCACCAAGCCCTGGAAGGACCAGGCAGGGACAAACCAAGGTGCCGTGGGAATCTAGAGGAGGGCAGGGTGGGTGCTGCCTGGAGTGTCAGGGTGGCCTTCCTGGAGGAAGGGTCAGTGTGAGCAAACCCTCATCAGCCGAATGCTGCTTAGTGAGAGGCAGGGAGGCAGGGAGGCCCAGGGGACTTTGAAGACCGAGAGAGGTCCCAGTGTGGGTAGGGGTGGAGCAGATAGAAAAGTGTCTTGTTTAGGTATAATTACGTGGATACCTGGAAACTAGCCAGGCCGGAAAAGAGAGGTGGGGGCGGGGGAGATGGAGTGAGGGAGGAGGATGAGAACTTGCAAATCAGGTTGACTCTGACATTTCAGTTTAACAAAAACACAACAGGTGATAACAGCTGTCCAGAAACTGCCTGGCTGCACCCAGGAGCAGTCAGAACACGGCAATGGCCCTCCTTCCTTTCGGGCAGTGCCCTCATCTGGCACTGAAGACCCTGTTCTCTTCCGTCATCTGAATGTAGCCCAGCTTTTTCATGTGTCCCACCTGCCACCCTCCCTCTGTTCCGGCTCCAGCTGCACTGAACTCCAGTCTGCGCTGTTGCCTGACCCTCCTCAGCCCTTCCTGCCTCACACCCACGTACAGACCTCGCGCCTCAATGCCTTTCTCTTCCCCCACACTCCTTTTTTTTGAGACAGAGTTTCGCTCTTGTTGCCCAGGCTGGAGGGCAATGGTACCATCTCGGCTCACCGCAACCTCCGCCACCCGGGTTCAAGCGATTCTCCTGCCTCAACCTCCTGAGTAGCTGGGATTACAGGCATTCACCACCACGACTGGCTATTTTTTTTTTTTTTTAATTATTT